ACCAATATTACTCTGAAGAATCTAGTGCCCCATTGCCAGAAAGGCCCGCCTCTTGCAATTCCTGAGCTCTGAGGAACAGATGTGTGGTACCCACAGGGAGAAGAAGAAGATGTTCTGTGACGTGGACAAGAGCCTGCTCTGTTTGTTCTGCTCTAACTCCCAGGACAATGGAGCTCACAGACACTGTCCCATTGAAGTGGCAGCTGAGGACCACCTGGTAAGTGACACCCCTGAGAGCACTTATATATATATTTCCTGCATTGAACCTGAGCCCATTATCTGAAGTGAGCTATCACAAGATCGGAAGAATAGGCTCCACTTGTATTCCCAATCAAGTTGGCACTAACTGATTACCACTATGGTGCTCACATGGTAGAAATATCCTCCAAGGATTAGGGGGATGGGGGTATGTCACAACAACAAGACACAGTGAGCATTGTAGAGGGAAGGGCATGCTTCTAACCCTCACTTGGGTGAGGCAAAGACATAAAATGTAACCAAAATGTTTGTACTCTCATAATACCCTGCAATCAAAACAAAACAAAACAAAACCACAAGGTAGTAGAGTTAAGAGACTGGAAGGAAGATGAGGATCATGAGGATGATCATTCCATTCTTTACAGAGTTTCAGATACAGTTCTATGTATGAATGGCAAAATTGTGAACAGTACATGCAAGTAGATCTGCCTTCCTGGAGTTTGCCTTCAAAGGGAGGGTGATTAAATTGTCATTTTTATTTTTTAAGCATTAATATATAGTATAAAGCTTAAGGCACTGTAAAGTTAGCAACACTACAAGAACTTAGGGATTTATTTTGGAAACATATTTAAAATACTAGACAAATAAACAGAAAAACAGTGCACTATAACAGCCGGGCACTGGCATCAGTAGAGGCAGGTCCTGAAGCAGTGTGCTTCCCTGAAAATGACCCACATTACATGAAATCTTCTTTTGTCAACTTCCTACATTATTCCATATTCTGAAATCTCTCAGAATTGCTAACTATTATCAAGGACAAGCAGGAAAACATTTGATTCTCCCACCCTCCCTAGTGGACTTATATCTAACATCCCTTGTGTCTCTATACTGGTCAGGGACTGAAATATATGGTATTTCCTTCTCTGCTGCTCAAATGTATTGTTCCTTTGCAGGAGAAGATCTTAAAGCAAATGAGCTCTTTATGGAAAAGGATGCAAGAAAATCACAGAAATCTACACAAGGAGAGGAGAACAATCCTCTTGTGGGGGGTGAGTATGAGGACATTGCTTCCTGACAACCAGTTTGAGAGCAACATGCTAGAAAACATCCATTAAGAACTCGAACTGAAATTTTCATATGACACAAGATTCTGTGATATGTTTATTAATAGGAAAAATAATTCGAATTTTTAAAAATAATCGTTCAGGTGTTCAGGAAATGTTTCTGCGTATAAATTTGAAATCATCTGAATGCTGAAGTACAAGTGTGTACAATCCATGGTTATTTCAGGCAGATATTTCTGTATGAGGTGAATTCTACAAATCAAAGGGTATACAGTTGGGACTGAAGGGGTTTCATAACGCTGAAAGCAATGATGGGCAGAGGGAGGAGGGGGTGTGAAGAGTCACTGAAGAAGTGTGGCTGTGACGCTGATCTCTGACAGCACAGGAGCCACGTGATGCTGCAGGTTCTAGTGGGAGAAAATTGAACATGCTGAAAAGCTGTGGAAAAGTGGGGGGAAAGAGATTGGGGGGAGTGAGAATGAATAGATAAATATTGGTAAGATTGACACAATGGCATGAGAATTAATGTTCTCAGAGTGTCAGGGCACTACAGTACTTGTGACCTTAGATAGCAGGAAGAAAGAAAGCAGGACAGAAGTCAGTCTGAGGGCTTGGCTAAACATTTTACTAAGTTACCCTTTGTGTGGCAGCTTTTTATCCTGAATATAATGCATGGGCAGCTTTTCTGCTAAGGCTGAATATTGAGTCTGTGAATTCAGGAGGTTTGAGACTAGAGACTAATTGAGTAGCAAAGATCAGATATTATATTAGGTATAATGATGTACCAATCAATCAGAAATTTCAATTGCTTTCACGTGGTAGTTCAGATTTGTGAGGATATTTATAAAATATTTTAAACCTGAAAGGCATCAGTTGTTGAGGAGTTTATGAATTCGATGAATGTTGCGGGAAAGGCTGCTTTATCTCTTCATATTTTTAATATAGAACAGAAAATAAGTGAAGGAAGGAGCAGGATGAATGTGTGGATTCTAAGAACTGGGAGGATGTGAATTAGGGTGCATGTAGCTGATTAGTAGAGAACATGATTCGGAGAGAAACTGATGGACTTTAAGTGGAGGAGGATGAAGCTGGCCTGTGTGTGTCATCAGAAATCCCTGTCCTGCAGTGCTATGTTCATCTATGGGAAAAGATGATCCGGGATGAGTACTGTAAGCTGCCTCCAGCTCTCCAAGAGGAAGAAAGACAACATATAGAGAGACTGACAAAGGAAAGCCGAGAGATTTTTCAGCAACTTAATACAAGTGAGGCCAAAATGGATGAAAAGAGGAAACAACTAAAAGAAATGTACAGCACACTGATGGAAATGTGCCAGAAACCAGATGTGGAGCTGCTCCAGGTAGTAAGCGATGATGTGCCTTGAAACACTTTCTATTAGCTGACATTTCCATCTTTGCCCTCCACTATTTCTTTGGTACTGAACAAATTACTCAGGGAAATTCAATTTTGTCTCCATTGGGAAATGAGTAGAATTTTGGGCAAAGCTAACATTTTCTTTCTCCTCCTGTGTGGAAGTCCCCAGTTTGCAATGCGCTTAATTTGAGGCAGGCTGCCCTTTGGGGACAAGCCCTGGGAAAGACACTTGCAGAGGCGGGTGGTTTGCAGCATGCAGTCACTGCCCACGTCTTCCTCTTCATTCCAAGGCAGGCTTCTGAGTCTGTCAAGAATTTAGATTCTGTATCTATGTTTTACTGGGATCATTCCTATGAAGACAAATGTGCATTTATTAATATAAGGAAGGTTGGGGTGATAGTTTTGGTACTTTCTGAACTTTCCCTTATCCAAAGCCTGGATGGGAAGAATAACTAATATCTGAAGATGCCTCAATTTTTCTTTTTTTTGGTAGGATTTCAGAGATATACTGACAAGGTATGTTTCACCTTCAATTTGAATAGGACCCCTAAGGGGGCTATTATTACATAAATCTAGTGTTTTCTCACAAAGTGAAAACATAACTTATTAACAAATTGAGTCACTGTTTGTGTGCTATGTTTAATATTTTTTTATGCCTTTGTACCACAAGTTAGTGTCCCTCAGCCTGCCTATGTGTCACAGGGTTATATGTTGAAGGGCTGAGTGGACATGTTACTAGAATACAGTGGCCTGTGTTTTTAGGATTCAGAGACAGGAACATACAGAGATAAATAAACCACATAGTTACCAATAGTACCAGAAAGAAGCAAGTCATTTTTCTCAGGCCATTTTTTGTGGAAACAGAAGAAAACTAAGAAGGATTTCCTAAAAATGCCACAAAGCATCCCAGGATTCTGTGCACTGCAATGTCAGTAAAGAGATTTGATGAAGCCGTCTCAGTTGGAAACTATTACTATTTAAACATGGGGACACCAGACAGATGAACTAACTGAGTTGTCTCCTTGCAGGAGTGAGTCTGTGCACAAGCACATGCCCCAGCCTGTGAACCCAGAGCTCAGTGCAAAGCCCATCACCGGACTGCTGGACAGACTCAACTGCTTCCGAGGTGAGTGTCAGCCCATGGGTGGGACCACCATGCAGTGTCTTCAATGATGGTTTCCTGTGGGCTAGCTTGCCCTCTGCAATGACCTTTCATTGAGAAGAGAACAGCCTGTGATGAGGCATTTATAGTCACAGTTGTACCATCATCATATGGGCACAACTAAATGAAAGCTGGTGAAAGGTAATGAGATTCAGCCCAGTAATAAATTACATAGAAAACAGAAAACATACAAAACGAACACTCCTGTGGAACATAGAACCGTTCTCTGATACAATGAGAGTTCAATGAGTCATACAGAACTGATTATTAACTCAGAGCATTCCACTGTCAAATTAAGTGCAGTTAATGATTGTGGTAGAATGGCTAGTCTTTTCTTTTTAAATGTATTTCAGTTAAAGTTTCATAGTAATTGAATTTGTATTAATGTATGCCTTAATTGATGTAATGAAAAAGACCTAAATGATTTTTTATAACTAAATGTAAAAACTGAGAGCTTATAAACAACAATAAAGTGACTGGGTGGTTGATGAAGCTTAATATAGAGCTCCGTGACAGACCACAGTTAGTCCTGCAGGAAAAAGATGAGTAGGCCTGAGTCAGGCATAAAAGCCACATAATGCTTAGAAGGAAATCACTTCCAGTACCATATATTCAGATATTCTCTTCATCTTAATATCAACTTCCTGGCTAAACTGGCAGAGTACAATATCTCTGGCAAGGTGGTACCCTCCTGTTTAGAGCTAAGAAATGCTCTCTTCCCCCCACTTCTCTGTCCCAGAAGAGAAAGAGCAGTGGAGGCAACTTGTAGTGTTGTGGACTTATCTTCATGCACAGGCTTCCAGTTTCTCAGGTGTTAGGAAAAGCTGTCAGCCAAAGGAGGCATCACCTCCTTCCCATTTATAATGCCTAAATGTTTAGGAATTGTTTTACTTAGGTTAGGTATTTCCTTCTGCAAATATTCTGGAAGCCTTTGAATCCAGTACTTTTCCCACCAGAAATTTTTATAGAAATTTGACATGCTTTTTTTTTTTCCAGCGAGACTCTACATCAGTGATCTCATCTCCTATATTTAACTGAAAAACTGATTTTTACTAGAATGTTCTCTTCTTTCCACAGTGGAGATCTCCTTCCATAATGAAACAACCAATCCCAATATCAGGCTGTTTGATGATGTGAGAAGCTTGATACTTAGACCTGACCAACCAGATGCATCTGTGAATACTGGCGAGTCTAACTGCTTTGCTATGAGGGGAGTCCAGGCCTTCAGCGCTGGGAAACATTACTGGGAGCTGGATGTGGACCACTCTATGGACTGGGCTCTAGGGGTCTGCAAGGATTCCTTCATAAGGAACAAGGGCACACTGTTGGAATCTAAGGACGTATTTCTTCTTTTATCTGTGAAGGAGGATAATGGCTGCACTCTCTTCACCACCTCCCCGATAATTCTTCACTATGTGGAGAAACCTCTGGGCCGCATTGGTGTGTTAATCGATTGTGAGAGTGGAAGTGTGAGTTTTTTGAATGTTGCCAGGAGTTCCCTGATATTTAAGTACCCTGCTACCTCCTTCTCTTTCCCTGTCAGGCCTTTCTTTCTCACTGGCCACAGATGAGCAGGGGTGAGTCAGGAACCAGACTGCAAGTGTGGGAACGACTCCATGTGCTGGGGAGCCCTTCTCAGTTGAAGCAAATCAATTATACTTGACTGTCTTCTACATTTTATGTACTTTAATATAATTCATTTTACTGTTATTAAAAGTGTAATGCAAAACATTTCTGGTCCGCTTTCTTTAAGTTGAAATCATCTCTTGTGGCCCATTATCCAAAATACATATTGTGATTTTATTTTCCTTGCTTTGTGAATCTATTGGGTGGAGTTCTGAAAATATCATATGTGTGTTTCCAAATTAAAAGTCTAATGGAAGAACACAGTGTGAACATCATGGACAAGCCTGGTTTGTTAAAATGTAGCTGTCAGTCTAAGATTTCCGTCCTGTTGATCTAGTAAATCCTACACATCCATTCAGCTTTAGGGGGAAATTTTTTATTTTACGTGAGTTCTCTACTTACTGAGACTTTGGAACACAATATACATTCTTTACAATCATGTGTCTTTTAATGACAGAAATAAGTTCTAGGAAATGCATCCTCAGGCAGTTTCTTTTTTTCTCAAAGCACAGAGTGTGCTTATACAAACCTAGATGGCATAGCCTACTACACTTAGGCTATGTGGTATTGTGCATTGCTCCTAGGCTACAAAATTGTAAAGCACATCACTGTACTGAATAACAAATTCAATTGTAACACAATGGCAAGTATTTGTATAACTAAACATATATAGACAAATAGACAAAGAAAAGGTACAGTAAAATCCAATACTATAATCTTAGGAAACACTACCATATATGTGGTTCATGACTATACATGATTTAAGAATGGCTATCTCTTAGAATAGTATAAATTGTAAAAGATATAGGAAGTGCCTCAATTCGGCACTTCAATTAGGCTATATTTTCAGCAGGTCACACAATGTCTAGGACATAATGAGCATGTAACAATATTTGAATCAAAAGCCTAATGTGACAACTGTCTTTTCAATAGTTTTAGAGATCTTGTTATGCATGTGAAATTTTTCGGCGCCAGCCAATACCTAATGGAGATCAAAAAATATGATGCATACGGTTTCTCTCCAAATGACCAATAAAAAAAAAATAATGTGCATGAGGGACTGCAATCCGTGTTTAACAAATCATTTGTGTGATTATCAGATTATGAAAGCTGAAGTTTGAGAAACACTGATACAAGCTGATTTACAGGTGCAAAGCCTCAGTATATTTCTTACAGCCTAGAAGCAAAGTATCACTACATTCCATTTGATTCAGTAACAGTGCTTATGTGTTTCTCAGTGAAAAAACCATAAAGACAGGTTAAGATCGTCAATAGAATGTTTAGGATCCTAAATAGAATGTGGATAGGTCAATCATTTTGAATAATAGATTACTTTCATCAAAATGCATACATTGTTTTAATTTTTGAGTCATTTACTTACCACACTAGAGGTAAACTCTATTCTTCAGGTTGGAGAATGCAGATAATAGCCAAAAATTAAAAATCCGATGTAAGAAATTAATGACTTCGATTTACTTTTCTGATTAATAATCATAAAAACTTTGCATTCAGATACACACTTCTGTTGTATTTTGGATTTTTGAAATGTCTGGAAATGCCATTGTATGATGAGAAGATTCCAAGGGCTTGCTGCATACATGTAAATATTTTCTACTTAATGTGGCTGTCAGCAATGTTAGGCAGTGTTATTTCATGGAGGAAAACTATCAAATGATGCGTATTATGGCATATCAGTTTCAGATTTTATTGTTCAGGACAATTGTACAATTAAGCACAGGCGCTTTTGGTATAGCAATAAAGACTCCATAGATCAAAGGACAAGGCCTACACTCTCTAATGGTGTAGAATAATGATTTCCTGGACTGGATAGCTTTACACATTGAAATTATGTTGTTCAAAATGAAATCTAATTAAAATATGCTCCTGGCATATTTATTTAATGCTATCCACAATTATAATTTCAGCTGGCACTCCCATTCAATGTTTAGGGGCAAATTGACACATTTTTTAAAGTGAATATGTAAAAAGGCATTTTCTTTTTGAGGGCAAGTCTCCACTTTGTTTCCCATGCGCAACGAGTGAGTGCTCCTGGGTGGCATCAGCCTAGCGCTCACAGCGCAACTCAATCATCCTTTTTCAACGTGATCCTCCTTGCCTAAGTCCTCCCGAGCTAGCTGGGACTACAGACATGCACCACCATGGCCTGCGCCTAATTTTTTCCATATATATCTTTTTAGTTATGTCAAATAATTTTTTCTCTTCTTTTAAAAAAATTTTTAGTAGAGACGGAGTCTCAGCTCAGGCTGCGTTTCAAACTCCTTGACTCGAGGCAATCCACCTGCTCAGCCTCACCAGGAGTGCAGGTTCACAGCCATCGAGCCACCATGCCCTGGCTAAAAGGCTATTCTTGACATTTTTCTATTAGAGACAGGGGTCTTCGTATGATGGCCGCGCAGGCTGGATTCACAACTTCCTGGCTTCGATGATCCTCTCCCTTACCTCAGCCCTACAGAGTGTCCTGGACTGCAGGCACTTCAGCACCTGCCTACCCCAGTCTAGATAGAATGTCCTTTGCTCCAAGTTAGAAAGTGTGATTTCTTTCTTCTTTTTTTTTTTTAATTTTCAAACACCCTAAGATACTTTATACGTCGTCTAAGATGGGCTTCTTAGACTATTACCAGCTAACTTGCCCGCACTGGCGGAATTTCTATGGATGATTGATGAGCATAAAGAGGTTTTTCTAGAGGGGGCAATGAAGAAGAATCGGAAAAGACTCGTCC